ACGGGTCGGATCTACCATTTGGCTAATCCGACCTGCATTTTACAGGAGAGTCATTTTCTAACTCTTACCTACCCTCATATCAGCAGGTATCTGTTGAGATAATGTCCGGTCAACAGATACTTGCTCTGTTCCACTTATTATTTAATTTTTTCAAAAAATGATTTATCCTAATATAATTTTTATTTTACACATTTATCTAAAATTTAATAAAGATTTTTTTTCTCAAAAAAAGTTTACCACCAACTTGGTGATTTGATTTGTTTCTGTTTTAACTAGTACTTGGGGAAAGAGAAATTTGTCTTAGGCTAACTCTGATATTGTGTGCCTGTACTGGTACCCTTCTCCCAACAAGTGGTATCAGAGCAATCAAGTTAGGCTACTTATTTGTACTAGTTAAAAATGGATTATTCGGATAGTGGTTGCATGATAAAATTGAATGCCACTAATTATTCAATTTGAAAGCCCAAAATGGAAGACTACTTGTATTATAGAGATTTGTTTGAACCTATTCTGGGGGATAACGACAGACCAAGTGATATGAGTGATGAAAAATGGGCTGTTATGCACAGGAAAACTGTTGGTAATATTAGAAAATGGATTGGTCAAACTATTTTTCAACATTTTGCTAATGACACTAGAGCTGATGTATTATGAAAAAAACTTGAGAGTATGTATGAAAAGAAAACCGGTTTGAACAAAGCTAGTTGTCTGAAGCAGATTACTCGAATGAGATATAAAGATGGGGAAGATATGACTGAACACCTAAGTAATTTTCAGGGATTGATAAACCAGGCAACTACGTTAAATTTGAAATTAGATAATGAAGTGCAGGCTTTATTATTATTTAGTTCACTACCGGATAGTTGGGAAGCTATGGTGGTCTCCGTTAGCAATTCAACTCCAAATGATGTGTTGACCATGGCTATTGCAAAAGAAGCCGTGATGAATGAAGAGTTCAGGAAGAAGGAACAAGAAATTGCCTATGAGTCCCAGGCTCTGGTGACAGAAAAGAAAGAAAGAAGAGGGAGAAGCAAAAATAGAGGACCCCATAACATGAAAGACAAATCCAGAGGCAGGTCTGAGTCGCGAAAAAATGTTACATGCTATTATTGTAAAAAGAATGAACATTATATGAAGGAGTGCAGAATTCTAAAACGGGAACAAGCTGAGAAAAAGGGTAAGGTGAAGGAAAAAGTGATGAAAAGACTACAGCGGTTGCGGCAGCTCATGATGATATGTTTGTGTTCTGTGATGATGGTCAGGTGAATATTATTCATTATGATAGTGATTGGGTAGTTGATTCGGGTGCATCCTACCATGTTACTCCTCACAGGCATTTCTTCTCAACCTACACCGAAGGAGATTTTGGATATGTTAGGATGGGAAATGAGGTCTTATACAAAGTTATTGGCATGGGAGACATATATTTGGATACAGATACCGGGAGCCAGCTGATATTAAAAAATGCTCGATATGTCCCTGATATTCTCCTTAATCTTATCTCTACAAAAAAATTTGACGATGAGGGTTACCATAGCTTGCAAGGTGGAGGCAAATGGAAACTCAGCAAAGGAAATCTCATTGTTGCTAGAGGAAAGAAACAGAGTACCCTCTACTTGATGCAAGCCAAGTTGGGGAAGGGAGAAATCAATGCAGTTCGTGATTCATCAATTGACCTGTGGCATAGGCGACTTGGGCACATGGGTGAAAAAAGGATTCAGACACTTGTTCGCAAACAGCTCCTATCTAAAGTTAGAGGTAATGCACTAAAACCTTGTGTTGACTGCATTTATGGGAAACAATACAAAGTTGCATTCAAAAATTTTCTTCCATCTAGAAAATTGAATCTGTTAGAATTGGTGCACGATGATGTTTGCTATATGAAAGATAAGTCTCTTGGTGGTGCTATTTATTTTGTAACTTTTATTGATGACTTTGCTAGAAAGGTTTGGTATTTTGTTTTGAAATCTAAAGATCAAATTTTGGATGTGTTTAAAGATTTTCGCAGCAAAGTTGAAAGAGAGACTGGGAAGCAGTTAAAGTATATTTGTGCTGATAATGGTGGTGAGTACAGAGAACCATTTGAAATCTATTACAAGTACCATGGAATCAGATTGGAGAAAACTGTACCAAAAACTCCTCAAGAGAATGGAGTAGTAGAGAGGATGAACAGATCCATCACTGAGCGGGTCAGATGTATGCTCTCTAATGCTAAACAGGCAAAACCCTTTTGGGGTGAGGCAATGAGGACTGCAGTTGATTTAATAAATCTTTCTCCATCAGTTCCTCAAGATGGTGATATCCCAGAGAGGGTATGGATGGGAAAAGATGTATCCTTTAAGCATTTGAGAGTTTTTGGTTGCCGGTCATTTGTTCATATTCCCAAGGATGAGAGGTCAAAACTTGATGTAAAATCAAAATAATGTATTTTATTGGGTTATGAACATGAAGATTTTGGTTATAGGTTATATGATCCTATCGAGAAGAAGGTGATCAGGAGTAGAGATGTTGTCTTCTTTGAAGATCAAACCATTGAAGACTTTGATAAAGGTGATAATTCAAAATTCTCAGATGACATTCCTGCTAGTTCAAATTCAGATCCAGATCCAATTCCAGTATTTGTTAATTTTAATCAAGGGAGAGTTGAGATAGAGCAGAGAGAGAATGTTAATGATGGTGATAATCCTACTACTAATGAACCTGAGCATGAAACACCACCTACTCCACCATCGCTACCACAAGATGAGATTAGGAAATCTACCAGACAGAGGAGACCTTCTAGCAGATATAATTTCATGAATATTTGGTGTTAACAGATGGAGGAGAGCCAGAGTCCTATAGTGAGTCTTTAAAGCATGAGAACAAAGAAGATTAGTTGCAAGCCATGTAAGAGAAAATGGTGTCCCTGCATGAGAATCATACTTATGACTTAGTGAAACTACCTAAGAGTAAGAGAGTTCTGAAGAATAAATGGGTCTACAGGTTGAAGGCTCAGGAGCACAGCTCACAACCAAAGTACAAAGTAAGATTGGTTGTGAAGGGATTTAGTCAAAAGAAAGATGTAAATTTTGAAGAAATTTTCTCTCCTGTGATAAAAATGTCATTAATTCGAGTTGTTCTTAGTATTGCAGCCAATTTGAATTTAGAGATCGAACAATTTGATGTGAAGACAATTTTCCTGCGTGGTGACTTGGAAGAGGAGATCTACATGGAGTAATCGAAGAGGTTCAAAGAAAGTGGTAAAAAAAATCTTGTATGCCGTGTCAAGAAGAGTTTGTATGGATTGAAACAAGCACCGAGATAGTGGTATAAGAAGTTTGACTCCTTCATGACAGACCATGAGTACCACAGGACTACATCTGATCACTGTGTTTATGTGAAAAATTTTTCAGATGGTGATTTTGTTATTCTCTTGTTATATGTTGATGACATGTTGATTGTTGGCCATGATACTATAAAAATTGACAGGTTGAAAAAGAAATTAAGTAAATCCTTTGCAATGAAGGATTTAGGTCCGACTAGACAGATACTAGGGATGAAAATCTCACGTGATAGGCAAAATGGGAAGCTCTGGTTGTCTCAAGAAAAATATATTGAGAAAGTGCTCAACAGGTTTAATATGAGCAATACTAAGGAAGACTCAACTATACTTGCAGGTCACTTTAAATTGAATATCAAATAGTGCCCTACAAGTGAGAAAGATAAAAAAGACATGAAAAAGGTTCCTTATGCTTCGGCTATTGGTAGTTTGATGTATGTTATGGTTTGCACCAGGCCAGATATTGCTCATGCAGTTGGAATAGTCAGTCGGCATCTCTCTAATCCTGGTAAGGAGCATTGGAATGCTGTCAAATGGATTCTCAGGTATCTCAAGGAAACTTCTAGATTATGTCTACGTTTCGGCAATGGTAAAACTATACTAGATGGATACACTGATGCAGATATGGTAGGTGATCTTGATAATAGGAAGTCCACATCTGGGTACTTGATGATCTTTGCAGGGGGAGCAGTGTCATGGCAAAGTAAGTTACAGAAGTGTATCGTCCTTTCTAGTATGGAGGCGGAGTACATTGCAATCACTGAAGCATGCAAGGAAACTCTTTGATTGCAGAAATTCCTTCAGGAGTTAGGTATGAAACAAGAGAAGTATAGTTTTATTGTGACAGTCAGAGTGCTATTCATTTGTATAAGAACTCTACATTTCACTCTCGATCCAAATATATTGATGTGAGATATCATTGGATTCCAAGTTATTGACACTTGAGAAGGTGCATACAAATGATAATAGTGCTGACATATTTACCAAGGCATTGCCTAAGGAGAAACTTTTATTTTGCAGACAAGAAATAGGGTTGGTGGAACGCCTCAAATAAACTGGAGAAGGAGATTGTTGGGTGTGGGCCAGCCCATTTGTGGGCCAACCCATTTGTGCAAGTGAACAACACTTGAGGGCTTCTCAAGTTTAACTACAAGTGGCAGCCGCATGAGGTAATTTCAATTCTTCGGTCCTCGTGCGAGAAAGAAAAAGGACAGCCGCCATCTTTTGCTGGTTCAGAGAAAAATGAAGAGAGAGAAAGAGCTAGAGAGAGAGAAACTTCAAGGTCTTAATTGGAGGGTGATTTGAAACCCGATTGAGACGAAATTTTACACACGCGATCCTCTTGTCAAGCTCTACTCATCTACCTGTTCAAATTTTAGATTTCCTTTTCATTTGGTAACACCTTTCCAAATTCACTTCTTTGACAGTTGTAGTTTTTAGAGGTAATTTCGTAGCAATTTCACTTGGTTGGTGGTGGTGATATTATTGTCGTCCGAATATTTCGGATAGACTTGTGTATTCCCATTATTGTGATAGTGGAAACTTTGACTAGACTAGATCCCGTAGTTTTTTTTCAATTGGATTTTTCACGTAAAAATCTTGGTGTCCTGTGTCTTCTATTTTTTTTGCATTTTATTATTACTGCTGGCATTATTACTTCGTGATTTGATTTGTTCTTGTTTTAACTGGTACTTGGGGAAAGAGAAATTTGTCCTGGGCTAACTCTGATATTATGTGCCTGTACTGGTACCCCTTTCCTAACACAAACAAGGCCATCATTTGCAGCCCGACTTGCTATCTCTTTCATCATATCTCTTAAGACCTGGTTGAACTTGTTTGGATCAGTGGCATTATGTGAATTCCAAGCAAAGAAGGAGATACCCCAATCGGCTCCCGAGAACATGGACTCATTCGAATAATGCAACAAGCATTCGTCATGTGAAATAAAAGCAGTCTTTCGATTCAAGAATGTCTCTAGAATCTCCCCACGGGCATTTGCTACACATTGTCCACAAACATCGGGATTCACATCACCTCGACAAAGAAACAGTCCATAGACCATGTTAGAGTGGTCATGGCTAGCAGTGAAGTTGTAGAAGCCATTCCTGCTGGTCAAGGAAGCATTTAAGGATAAAGTGGAGAGGAGGAAATTCAGGTTCTCTGTATACATACTGCCAGTAGAGCTGTTAGGATTATATGTAGTATTTACGCACCACTTAAAGGCATAAATCTGTCTCGCATTGAAGCTAATCAAACAAATTAGCAGGAAACACGAGAATAATATACTTCTGGAGATCATCTTGATTAGAATCAGGCAGATCAAAAGTAGACAGTGGTACATTTTTGCATTCAGGCATGCTTGACACTTGAGATGGAAGTATGAAATGCACTATGCTAGAGAACTAGTCACATAGGAAGACTTCTGAAAGATCCATGGACGTGTTACATACTTTCATTGATTTGTGAAAAGGGGAATCACGAAAGTAACGAAAAGTCTTTGGTCTTTGATATTGAACTAGGAGGCATAAACTGCACCATACATGGTGGCAACTAAATAGTGCATGCCTAGTTAAACGAAAATTATGCAGGCACTCCTCCTCTATTCATGTTTCTATGTATGCACATCTTTATCTATAGTGCGTGTGTCTATACATATCTATTAATATATAATATAATGGTGTTTCTTCCTTTTTTGTAATGCATAATATACTCTTACTTAGATAATAATCAATTTAATCTAGCAAACTCCTAATTCATGTCACTTCATGATCCTATGATTCCTATCTCAATATCACATAAGAGAAGTGCTGAATTGAATTACCTTCTTTTTTTTATTTTTCTGAAAGCTCTATTAGTTCCTCCGATGAAGTAAATTAGAACCCTAAATCTCTAGCCACAACTCTTTGTCAAGAAAAATCAGGTACCATAATTTACTCCCATAAAATATGTAATTAAGCATAGGACAAAACTCATCAAGATGATATACTTTCCATGTGAAGAGATTGACTTTATTTTGAACCTTATATGTAACCTGTTTGAGGTCAAAGTCATTCAGCCATTAGATATGTAAGTCCGACAAAAACCAACAATCAGCAACTGATCCATGGCTGACAAGATGTAGAAAACAGGAGGGCCAATCTACAAAACCAGCAGCATATACCAACAAACCAAGGGTGATGTGTGTTTACAGAATAAAAAATTGAAGCCTCAAGTTTATTAATTGTTATTGCATGAGTATAGGTGTTTTGTTTTAAATTTCTCAAGTGAAGCTATTTATTCCTTTTCTTATGAACATAGTTAATTTGTTTTGATACATGACTGTACCTTCATATTCTAATTATTTCATTCTTATTAAAAAAAAAAAGAATTGTTCTTCAACTTTGATGGTTCATTGTTGTCCTAAACTATGCTATTTGTTTTTGAGTAGTAAATTCCCATCCTGAATTCGAAATTTCATTCAACTTGGATTCATTTAGAATCAAGGATTAAAAGCTGTGATTGTCTTAAAAAGTTTGAATTATATGGGTCATCTTTTGGATCAAGTATTGTGGAAAAGTAGTGAATCTTAAATCCTACTTAAGAGTAAGTCCTTAATGCCCAAGAATATCTTGTGATTTTTCTTTTACATTTGGTGCTGCAACATACAGGTGATTGTTAATGTATTTTTTCAACATTTTTTGTATCACTGGTAGTGATTGACAAAAATATAATTTTTCACATGTACACTTTCTCAGAAACATATGGTCCACAATAGAACTTCCCCAGTCTCAAGAGAAAAAAAGGTAATGCCTTCTTTCTAAATTCGTATCTTTCAAGTCACTAAATATATAAGGCACCATTCTTATCAATGTCAATTATGCCATCCTTTCATGTAAGACCGTGAGATAACTGGCAAAATCATCATCTTTTTGCAGCGAATTTTTTGTTGCTATTGTAGTGAATGCTAAAATCATTAGATTTACTTGAACCAATTACTTCTGCAAACTTCATGCAGCTCTTCATATTAAAGTGTAGATTTTTTAATAATCAATTTAACTTATCAAGAAAATGAAGAAAGAGAAGTAATGGCATGGCATGTCATGACTTATACTCCTGAGTACGGATAAACTTTAATAGAGCTTGCAAGTGTAATGGATTTTTGATTGTAGTAAAAAGCCTTTTGAAGTAACTCATGATGGTGCAAGTGCTCCTCTCCCTATATGATTTTAGTTTATTCTCTGATTGTAATTGTAGCTTTTAGTTCACTTTTGATGCCCACAAACCTGGGGCCATTATAGTGGACAAACTTACTTTGGTATGAGAACCTAATGTATAGCAATTTTTTGTGTGATTTGTTGTATAAAAAGTTTACAAGTTTCCTACATTTTGATTTGGAAACTTTCAGGTTCAACATTATAAATAAACAATGCCGTAATGCGTAACAATTTATTCCATTATACTAAGTAGATTCCTTAAGTTGAGTTACGTTCTTAAATGTAAAATAGTGCTTGAATACTTTGCTTAGTTAAACATCCTCTTTCTTTTTCTTAGACATTGGTAAGTTGATCTCTATTCCTGCAAAGTAGCTCAATGTAGAACTATAAGTGTAACTATGAATGCTTATTCTATCAGCAAAAATATGTAAGCTTACATGAATATAACATGATGCCTTTTGAAGGCATCAACATGATAGTTACTCAATTGTGTTCAATGTATCGTTACACAAACTTTATGGGTGATTTTTATTTATAAAGCTTGATAAGATTCAACTTAATACATTTTTATCCAAAAAAACCCAAATTTCCTTCCATTTGACAATTTTTAAGACCATTCTTAATATTGACTTTTAAATGATGACACAAAAAGAGAAAAGAACTTTAAGATCATTTGTTACTGTTAATCTAAATTAATGCTCAAGGCATGTATATGAACCTTGAACTGTATTTTCATCTACATACATAGAAAGACCCAATGTACAATTACTTTGAAAAGTATCTTTCATGTAGCCTTTATTTTACTCATACAATAGTGGAGAATAAATCATAATAGCATGAATTTTTCCTTCTCTATTATTTTTTGTCCTAAAAAATAGAGATTGGACAAAATAGTTGTTGGATTTAAGTTTCCAATGAAGATAAATAGTACTAAAACACACAATGCGAATATAGCTGCATATGTGTTTGAAAGTTTAGTATTCTTTCATGCTGTAAATTTTTAGACTAAAGAAAGGTAGTTTCGTCTAGGGAAAATTAATATTTTCTTTAATCAGCTTTCATGACACTTAAAATTAACATATAAAATGGAGATATTAAACAACGTATTGGAAAAAAGTCGAAGGACTAAAGTGATAAAACAAATAGCAAATTCTGTAGCAGGAGCCTTGTCTTATTCTATGTGGGAGTTGCGACTTGCAAAGATGCTGTTTTTTATACAATTGTAGTATTATTATAACAAATATAATGTTTGCCTTCAAGTCATCTGTCTCTCGCTTATTTTGTTAGACGTAAATAACTTGATCAGAAGGGATCATGTCATGACACCATCAGCTATTCAAAAAGATTGATTTTAGATTTTGTATTGTAATTATGCAGCAAACATGAAAAAGTTTTGAGGTATGAAATGGGTGGAATAAGTCTTAAATTAACTTCATGTACTTTCCCCTTTTTTCCTTTTTTTTGGGATTCTAAATTTTTCCTCAAATTCTAAGCTATTATCTAGAGACTAAAAAACATTAATTGTCTTTGTTCACAAGTGTTTAGCTCTATACGTAATTGGTTGTCCATACAAAATTAGATTTCGTAATGCTCCTTTTACGTGACTACTATATGAGTTTGAAGGTTAATTAATTTACTTGCACCAACTTTGAGTTTTGCTAATTCTTAATAGTATGAGGACTTCCTGATTTTTATTTTTTTTTTGGAGTTCTTGAATTGTTCGCTTTCCTTTGAAAATGTAACCTTCTTTGCTAGATACTATATACTAGTTGGTATCAGTAGGGATGACCTTTCAGGTCAATCTTATTATACTTTTCAAGTTTATATTAGAAGAGAGTATCAAGGAAACAATCTCATAAACATAAATTTTCTTTCTCCTAATTTTATTGTAAGTTGATAATGAAGATAGGAATCACAAAACCCATTAAGAAGCTTCACTTAATGGAATGAAAACTTCTTCACATATCCACTGTTTAGCAAATATTGCATTCCAGACAATATAATATTTTCCTCTTTATGAAGTCTTATGCTTATCCAATTTTGAATCCTATCGCTGGCCAACATGTATAGAATCAATTTGGAAGCTCTATAACTTAATAATTGTACTAACTAGCAAATCCTTAAATTAAAGTTTCGGTTGATATTAATAAAACAGCTACTTATGAAAAAAAATCAAGTATAAACTTATGACTTTAAAATGAAAGAACAAAAAACCCACACACACATATATACATGTATGTTTGTTTCAAAACTTTTTATAAAATTATATCAATTCGTACCTTTTTTATAGTTAACTCTTTAAGTTATCGAAAATAGCATTAAGTAAATATATTTTATGTTCTGGGATGGGATGGATTGGTTGGGAGATCTTAGCACTTACACACTAAAAAAATGTAAACAGATTTTATGCATACAAACATAAATTTACAAAAAAAAAGGTCTCAATTAGCAAGTCTATGCTATCTCTTCCTCTTTTAACCTACGTGGCTTATTATATCTTATCAAACGTGTGCAATCAAGTTTTATCCACCATCGTATCCATTGATATGTGCATGACTTTCAACAAATGAATACATACTAAATATTACATCAATATTGTTAACAGTGTTGTACAAAAACAATTTTCTTTTTTTTTCGCACTAAAAATATGATGCTATGATTCCATATGCCCAAGCACTTCTATGGGACATCCTATTGAATCAATTTTTTACATCAAGTATGTCACTAGTTAGAAGTTTTTCTTCATATTTTGTAGTAATAGTTCTGTTTCATCTTTTCTACTGCAATTTTTGGACTTTTGTGTTTTACATCAAATCAGTTTAGTGGTAGTTTAGACCAAGTTCTTTATTATACCTTTTTTGTCATTTCTTATTTTCATAAAAAGGCCACTTATAGGTGATACTTACCTATCAAATGATTTATAGGCACTCAAACGGATTCTATCAATTATGGCATTTACATTTTTATAGTAACCATA